CAAAACCAAATTCACAATTTCAAAATAAAAGTGATTTTCGCACTAATCAACAGAACAGAACTTTTAATGTTACTTGAAATTATTGCAAAAAACCTGGTCATGTTATTAAAGATTGTAGGAAAAGAGAATATAATAATAAGCTCAGAAACACATTTTCAAGTAGCAATCAAATTAGGGAAAATTATCAATACAAAAATAATTATCCAAATAATGGATTTAAAAATAATTCTACATTTAATAATACTCAATTTAACAGACAAAATTCTAATGCACGACCATTCACCCCAACAAATGAGGGAAACGAACAAAACCGTCCTAGATCAGGTGCGTCGGGACAGGTGACAATAGAATAAGCGTGCCTAACAAAGAAACATCCGAGGGTCTAGAAACCATTCAAATCAATTGTACTAAAGGAAACAAAATACCATCTATTTATGTTAATACAGTTTCTAAACCACTTCATTTAATGATTGATACAGGGGCAGGATTAAATCTTTTAAAAGAAAAAATGCTTGATTCTACAATGACTTTAAATAAATTAAAGAAAATTCAATTAACAGGTATAAATGAACACCCAGTACACACATTAGGACAAACAAAACTAAATATTTTCGGTTATCCCACAATTTTTAATATAATACCAAATGAGGTTCCTATAGAAGAAGACGGTGTTTTAGGATCGGAATATTTTACTGACAATAATGTTAAAATTAATTATGCTGAAAAATGTTTAGAAGATGAAGGAAAAACATTTTCTTTTGCATCAAGAAATTTTATAACCCTTCCACCTCGATCAATGTCTGATATATTTTTATTTGTCGAAAATTCTGATTTAAAAGAAGGATATGTCCCTCTTTTAAATACATAACCGGGAATTTATATAGGAAACGCTTTAGTTACAAATCACAATGGTAAAGCTTACATAAAAGCAGCAAATACGTTATCAATATCAGTTAGAATTGAAATTCCAAAAGTAACCTTACAAGAATATGATGAAATTTCTGATTCAAACCAAACTACAAATAATAGTAAAATTAAAAAAAGCATTGAGGAAAAATTGTTAGATAGCTTTATTTATTCAGAAACTCTGAATAATAAATTTGGATTTTATAATCTTACAGGTAAAAAAAGAATTGAGAAAATTTTAGATTCCCTTCGGTTAGATCATTTAAGATCAGAAGAATTAAAACATGTAGAAGCATTAATTGCAGAATATTCCGAAAGATTTCATTTACGAGACGAATATTTAACAGCTACCAATGTTCTACAACATAACATCACTACTAAAGACGACGAACCAGTATTTACGCGACAATACAGATTTCCCCCAGTGCATAAAGAAGAACTTTTAAGACAAACAAGTGAACTTTTAAAAAATAAAATAATCAAACCTTCTTAATCCCCATATAATACACCAGTATGGATGATGCCTAAAAAAATGACAGTCATGGAAATAAAAAATGGCGTTTGGTATTAGACTTTCGCAAATTAAATGAAAAAACAATAACCGACTTTTTTCCACTACCGAATATAAACGAAGTGCTCGAGACCCTTGGAAATGCGCAATACTTCTCTGTGTTTGATTTAGCTGCCGGTTTTCATCAAATTAAAATGAGCACAAAAGATTCTCACAAAACAGCCTTCTCAACGTAGTAATTTTTGCAAATTCTCTTGAAGAACATCAACAAAAATTTGATAATTTTATGTCTCGTTTATGTAACGCGAATTTAAAATTACAACCAGACAAATGCGAATTTCTAACACCCGAAGTAGTTTATCTCGGACACATAATCGACAAAAGTGGAGTCCGACCTGATCCAAAAAAGATAATTGATGTTAAAAATTTTCCAGTTCCCAAAAACGTAAAAAATATAAAACAATTCTTAGGTCTTGCCGGTAATTATCGAAGATTCATTAATAAATTTTCTAAAAAATCGGGACCTTTGACGCAACTTTTAAAAAAGGACGTAACTTTTCAATGGACAGGTAAACAACAAGTAGATTTCGAAATTTTAAAAAATGAACTTTGCGTAGAATCACCCCTACAAAGACCAGATTTTGAAAAACCTTTTATACTTACAACTGATGCATCTGGTTATGCTATTGGCGGCATATTATCACAAGGCGAAATTGGTAAAGATAAGCCCATTGCTTATGCGTCAAGATCTTTAAACGAACATGAAGTAAAATACGACACTTATAATAAAGAAGCCCTCGCGATTGTATATTGTGTTTTACATTTTAGACATTTTCTCTATGGTAGGAGATTTAAAATTGTTACTGATCATAAACCATTATTATGGTTTCAAAAATCAAGTGATCCTTGTTCTCGCGTAACAAGATGGAAATTAAAATTAGCAGAATACGATTTTGAGATGTTATACAAGGCAGGAAAAATGAATGTTAATGAGGATGCATTATCCCGAAATCCAGTATCTTATGTGAAAAAATTTGATCGCTGCATCCCAGAATACGAAGAAGAAGCAAAAGAAGAATATGACGAAGAATAAGACGACAATAAAGAAAGCGAAAATTCAGATGAAATCGAAGATGATGGTGTTTATTGTAATGAAGAATTTACTGACAAAATAAATGTTGAAAGTGTATCTACGAATAATGAATTAAATCTTGTTAAAAAAATAATAGGTCTGATATATGAGAGTACGAAAAATAAAAAAGTTAAAAATTTTTATGAAAAAATTAATAATGAAGACTATCCGATAAATCTTGAAAGTGATAAATGTATTGCAGTGATGACTGGAAGAAAATCAAAGAAATTAATAGAAGAAGCTACTAGTTCCAAGAATTTAAAAGAAAAAGTGCAACGCTCGTGTCAAAAATAAAGTGAAAAAGTGCAATATTCAAGTGAAGAAATAAAAAATTCTGAATCAAAGAAATCTTATTCTAGTAATAAAATTGACAAAAACCACTGCTGGTCAGTAGTATAACAACACCGGTTCTGGATAGATTAGTATTAGTGCGTGTCTGTGTGAGTGTAAGAGTGTGTAGGTGCGTGTCCGTGTGAGTTGTGGCAAATGCGGGGGTGTAAGGGGCAAGGGGGAATGTAACCTTGAAATAAGGGGGTTTGCGGGTGTGCAAGGGGTAAGGGGGATGTAACCCTGAACTAAAGTGTGTTTGCGGGGGTGCAAGGGGTAAGGGGAATGTGGCCCTGAAATAAAGAGGTTTGCAGGGGCCCAAGGGGAAGGGGATGTAACCTTGAAGAGGAGACTTGCGGGGGTGTAAGAGGCAAGGGGAATGTGACCCTGAAATAAAAGGTGAGGGGGGGGGGTAGATTTAACCTTGAAAAGTGTTGCGAGAATATTTTTTTTGAAAAAAAAATTCCGGTGGTGGGGATTAAGGAATTTCTTTGAATAATAATAATAATAATGTGAGAGTAAGACCTTATGGAAATATTTTGTGGTGGGGATTTAAAAACATTATTGCACCATCCTACAAAATTCATGTTTGGTGCGTGATGGAGAGGGAAAAAAGTGGGGTATTTTGCTAATATAAAAAGCGTCTGTTTAACGTCAAATTTTCAGTTATAATTTTTAAAATAAAAACAAAAAAAACCTAACCATTTTTTAGATTAATAGTGAAATTTTTTTATAAAAATGGAAAAATTTCATCGTGAAAAATTGGAAGATTTGTGTGATATATTTGTGGAATGCATTGATATGCATAGACTATGGCCACGTTTGCTGGAAAATAGAATTTTCAATTTGGACGATTATAATGTTCCAATTTGGGAAGTATGCATTTTAATTCTGTATACATATTATTGATATTACTTTTTTGTTAATTATAATAATACTCAAATTTTTTTTTATTTCTTTCAGAAGTCTTTAAACAATTTTCAAACTCAGAAAGATATTTATCTTGCTATAAGAACGAGAGGTCCATATGCATTTATTAATTTTTTAACAAGTCTGCGAGAAGAAAATTATGATATTATAGCAAGAATACTTGAATGTTATATACCTCAAACCAGGAAACAAAAATAAAAGTTAATTTTTTAATAACAGTAAACATACAATTTCAATAATTATTTGACTTTAATCAATAAAATATATTGATTTTCTGTAAACTTTAAAGAATTGTGTTTTAATTACTTGTCTATTTCGTTAAGAAAGGGTTTTTTTTGTTTTGTATATAATTTTAAAGTAAGTGTTATCAAATTGGTGGGGATTAATGAATTTCTTAGAATTGATGTTGACACATTTTCTCAGACACTCTCACACTGTTCTTCAAAATTAAATATTTTTTGTGGTGGGGATTTAAAACATTATTGCACCATTCTAAAAAATTCATGTTAAAACTTGTTTAATGCGTGATGGAGGGGAAAAGTGGAGTGGAAATTTTACACATAGAAGAGAAACATATACAATAATAATAATAATAGTTGCAGTGATTATAAATAGGAATGCAAGAAGAAGGGAGAACCATTTATTTTTATAATTTCATTTGAATAGTTTCTTTGTAACAATTAATTAAAAAATAATGAAGTTGACAAAGTGTAAAAAACTTGTTTCAATAATGGAACATGCTTATATTTTATTACGCGCTGAGAAAACACTAAATATTAAAAAGTGCGAAAAGTGGATAAAATTTGGAAAAACAAATATAAAACTTATAAAGAAAATTTTAAAGAACAGTGCGAGAGTGTCTGAGAAAATGTGCTTAACATCAATTCTTAGTTTATTGATGGCGATTCAAAAAAAATTGATTATCTCAGAAGGAAGAAGGGTGGTGAAGGTATTTCATCATCAACGAATCAACATGAGGTAAAGCGAGTAATTTGGCAGAATTTAGAGTCTGCTTTTGAAAGTCGCATAGTTACAGGTTCAATTGTTAATTTAGTTCACAAAGATATGTCACAGTTTTTAGACGATGCAAAACAATTGACTATTAAAAAAATTAAAACTTATTTAGCTCAATATTCAAATTTAAAGGTTAATGTAATATTTTATGGTAAATTTGAGGTTTTCAAATTAAATAAAATGAGTGAAGAGATTAAAACTTTAAAGACGAAAAATGACATAATTTCTTCAACAACAAATTTAGATTTATGGTTTAATGAAAATGTAAAAGAACAACTTTTAGTAAAAATGGAGGATTTTCAACAAAAAGAATCGGGATGGTCTTTGGTTGAAATTTTAAATTTAGTTATAAATATTAATAAATACGTTGCATTTTTAGGAGGATTATCGACGTATGTAGAATTACCTAAAACAATTAGATTAAAGAAAGCAATAATCAATATTCAAAACAACGATTCCTTTTGCTTTCTTTGGTCCATTGTAGCAGCGTTACATCCTGCTAAATATAATGTTTCACTGACTGATTCATATCCGCATTACAGTCAAGTATTAAAATACGATGATATAGAATTTCCTATTAGGTTTGAAGATATCGAAAAATTTGAGAAACTGAACAAATTAAGCATTAACATTTATGGTGAGGAACAAGACAAAAATGAAAAAAGAGATATTGTTCCTCTTTATTTAAGTAGAGAAAAATCAGAATTACCGGTAATTCATCTGTTTGCTGTAGAAATATATGATTTTAATGATAATGATCAAAATTTTATCCATGAGGAAATTGATAGAAGCAAACAAAAATTAACTTATCATTTTACGCTTGTGAAAAATTTATCACGTTTAATAAGTTCTCAGGTTTCACGAAACGAACATCGTATTTTAATATGTGACAGATGCCTGTGTCACTTTACTCTTGAAAAATCTTTTGAACGACATAGATTGTCGTGTGAAAAGGTAAACAAATGTAGAGTAATTTTACCAGATAAAAACAATAAAATTTTATCTTTCAAAAATTATCGTTTTAAAGAAAGAGTTCCATTTGTCGTATATGCAGATATTGAGTGTCTGTTGGAGCCTGCAGATGATTCACATACTAATACATCCGCATATCAAAAGCATGTTCCAACAAGTGTAGCTTATTATTTACATTGCAGTTTCGATGAATCATTAAGCAAATTTAATCTTTATCGAGGTAAAAATTGTATTGAGTGGTTTCTAAATGAATTAAAATGCTTATCATATGATGTTAATGATCTTATAAATAATATTGTACCAATGGAACCATTAACTAAGCAACAAAATCAAGAATTTCAATTGTCTACAATTTGTCACATTTGTGAGACAATTTTTACAGCGAATGATATTAAACATCGCGATCATTGCCATTTTACTGGTAAATTTCGCGGTGCTGCTCACCGAAACTGCAATGTAAATTATAAAGATTCTTATGTAATTCCAGTAGTTTTTCATAATTTATCTGGTTATGATTGTCATTTTTTTATTAGAGCTCTAGCAACCAATTTTGAAGGACAAATAAACTTGTTACCTGTAAACAAAGAAAAATATATAGCATTCACAAAGAAAGTTGCTGAAACAAAAATTAATCTTCGCTTTGTTGACTCTTTTAGGTTTATGTCTAGCAGCCTTGAAAAATTAGCTTCCTATTTGAGTAATGATAAGAAAGAAATTACTCGTAAATTTTCTAAAAGTAATGAAGAATTCAATTTGTTAACGAGAAAAGGTGTATTCCCTTATGAATACATCGATTCTTGGTCACGATTAGATGAAGAATCTCTTCCTCCAAAAGAGGCATTCTTTTCAAAATTATATGACGAACATATTTCAGAACAAGACTATTTTCATGCGCAAAATGTATGGGAAACTTTTAATCTTCAAAATTTAGGACAATATTCCGATCTTTATCTTAAAACAGATGTTTTGCTTCTTGCTGATATTTTTGAAAATTTTCGAAGAACCTGTATTTTAGCTATAAACTAGATCCCTTACATTACTACAGTGCACCTGGACTAGCTTTTGATGCCATGTTAAAATTTTCAAAAATTCACTTGGAATTGTTAACTGATGTTGAGATGTTGCTCTTTATTGAATCTGGTATTAGGGGTGGAGTATCACAATGCTCCAATAGATACTCAAAAGCAAACAACAGATATATGGAGGAAAAATTCAATGCAAATTTACCAGAAAACTACTTGATGTATTTTGATATTAATAATCAATACGGTGCAGCAATGAGCGAATTTTTACCTTACAAAAATTTTGAATTCATCGAAGATTTTTCCGCGGTTGATTTTCTCAATATTTCAGATGATTCATCAGTCGGTTATATTTTAGAAGTCGATTTAGAGTATCCTGTGGAATTACACGATTCACATAGTGATTTACCTCTTTGTCCAGAACATTATATACCTCCCAACTCAAAATGTAGAATTCCTAAATTAATGACCACTGTTTTGCCAAAGACACAGTACATTGTTCATTATAGAAATTTAAAACTTTATTGCAGTTTAGGAATGAAATTGATAAAAATTCATCGAGTTTTGCAATTTAACCAAAAACCCTGGTTAAAGGGTTACATTGATTTAAATACCGAAATGCGAAAATGTTCTGACAATGATTTCGAAAAAAATTTCTATAAACTCATGAACAACGCTGTCTTTGGCAAAACAATGGAAAATGTAAGAAAACATAAAGACGTACGTTTAATTACAAAATGGGAAGGGAGATACGGGGCGAAAGCTCTCATTGGGAAACCAAATTTCCATAGCTGCACAGTATTTGACGAAGATATGGTTATAATTGAAATGAATCGTTTAAAAATTCATTTCAATAAACCAATCTATACAGGTTTCACTATTCTAGATATTTCTAAAATAATAATTTATGATTTCCATTACAACTACATGAAAAACAATTTCGAAAATAGAGCAAAGTTACTCTATACAGATACGGATAGTTTAATATACGATATTAAAGTTCCTGATTTTTATGAATTTCTCAAGAGAGATATTGTGAAATTTGATACATCTGACTATCCTCCTAATAATGTATACGGAGTACCGCTTTGTAACAAAAAAGTTTTAGGTTTAATGAAAGATGAAAATTGTGGAAAAATTATGTCTGAATTCGTCGGTTTACGCGCAAAATTATATTCATTTCGTGTTTCAGGAGAAAAAAGTGAAAAAAGAAAAGCTAAAGGTGTTAAAGGTGCAACATTAAAAACTATTTCATTCGATGATTATAAACATACTCTAAATTCTTATGAAAATCTTATGAAAATCTTGTGAAACCTCAAACGTTGATTCATAGTCGAAAGCATCAAGTCTTCACAATTAAACAAAATAAAATTGTTTTGAGTTGGGATGATAACAAACGTGTATTAGTCCCAGGAACATCCGATACTCGTCCTTGGGGATATCAAAATAAAAAATAAAATAAATAAGCTAATACGCTTTATACGCTACATATTTCTGTGTGTGTACGCAGCATGGAAATGCACCGAAAGATAGTCATAACAACCTCCCAACTTCTTCCTTTAGGAGTCATCATAGGAAAGGCGTATGTTAATTCTTCGCCTTGAGTGTTATTCGTTAGAAATAATCAACAAGGCAGAAGACATTTTGGGGGAATCACCCCACTTATGCTGATGAGACCCACTTTTCATTCTTTTGAGCCCCAGTTCATCAATTGGTTTTGAAGTATAAAGTTATAATAAAGATTTGTGAGCATAACATTTCTCAAAAAAAAAACAATTTAATTTAATTAGTTGCTCAATATGATTAATCTTGTGTCATCACTTGTCTGTGTAAAATAATTTCAAAAATCTTGTAAAATTAAACATTTTTGAAATTACTTTACACAGACAAGTGGTTACACAAGATTAATCATATTGAGCAACTAATTAAATTAAACTGTTTTTAAAATAAATTTTTTATACTTAGATAATTCCTCAAAGACCAAAAAATAAAGTTTTGAAGAAAAAAAAAGTTAAAGAGAAAAAAAAAATATGTCTCTGGACGAACAGTTCAATCCGTAAGTGTTGTCTGTAAAATTAAAAAAAATAATAATGTACTTTTTTAAAATCTAACGCTTTATGTAACCTCAAACTAAAAATGGTTTTTATTCCCAAATAAAATTGCATTTAAAATTATTTTCACTATTTCTTTGAAAATTGTATAAATTTATACAATTTTCAAAGAAATAGTGAAAATAATTTTAATTGCAATTTTATTTGGTAATATAAAACTTATTTTTTATTTTGAGGTAATGTTAAGGGTTGAATCTTATTAAGGATATTTTAAACGTAAATTTTATTTAACACTTTACCTAATCTTAAACTAAAAATTGTTTTTTATTATCAAATAAAATTGTAATCAAAATTAATTTCATTAAATTTTGATTATAATTTTATTTGATAATATAAAACTTATTTTTAATTTGAAGTAATGTTAGGTTGAATCTTCTTTAGGATATTTTTTTTTTTAACAAATTAAAATAATTATTCTCAGATTGGAATATATCTTAATCGCCCCTGACATCTTCGTCCCAATGGAGTGGCTTGTGGTTCAAAATCTGCACTCTTTGTTAGATGCTTGCAATAATGCGATTGCAATTTTGAACATGTCTAACCAAGAAAATTTAAATGTGACCTATTCTGTTAATATTATAATGTCATTCAACGGTGTCAGAGGCAGATTGGAGTGGATCAACAATGCCTACTACTTTAAAAAATTTTTAAATTTTATTAACATTCAATATATAGTATGGAAAACGTTATGTTGGTCATACTCTCTAAATCTGAATTAGTAAAAATGTTTACTAATTTGAATTAGTGACTCACTTTTTGCTTTAGAATTAGTTAAATTTTACTAATTGTTAGTAAAAGTTACTAATAATTAGTAAAATTTTACTAATTCAGAAGCAAAAAGTGAGTCACTAATTCAAATTAGTACACATTTTTACTAATTCAGATTTAGAGAGTAGAAAAAAAGAAACACCAACATAACGTTTTTCATGCTATATAATAATAATATCTACAACTATATATTATTCATGTCGCAATTGTGTTTTTAAAAAAAAAAAAATGTGACCAAGTGTAAATCTTTGAAAAAAAAATAAATTTCATTAAAACAATGGGAAAAAATTCATCTTTTTTTTTACGTGTGTGCATTTAGTGGCTAACTTTGTGTGTGGATTTAGTGTTTTTAAAGAAAATGTGACGTGATCTGAAGAAAGAAATCTTAGAAGCAAACTAATTATAGGTTATGTTTAAGACAGTTTTACCTTGATTAAAAGTTTCCTTTTGTTTCTATAAAATCAAAATCAGTTTTTATTGAATATTTTTTGGATGTAATGAAAATTTAAACATAACCTTTAATTTTTTGCTTCTAAGGTCCTTTTCTTCAGATCGCGTCACAAATCGTTTAATTATTTAATAGTAATATCGTTTCGAAAAACTATATTATTTTGTGGAGTCTTCAGCATAATCATCATCGTTCTTTTTGCTTCGTTTCTATTTGTTATTTATTTGTAGCTTTAATTATAACTATAATAATATATGCTGTATATAAAAGAAAATTTTACAAGTAATTGAAATTTCGAAGAATTATATTCAAATACATATATTTTTTAAAAAAAGATTAGGATTCTTAAAAATTATACATATATATATATATATATATATAAAAGTATCGTTGGAGTTGTTCAGGTTTCAAAAACGACATATATTTCTGGAGCCTGCAGAATAATCATCGTTGGTGACGTTCTGTTTCACTTCTTTTCTTTACAACATTTAATCGCAGCTTTAAATATATATGATAAGATTAAAATGAGAAAAAATCCTTTTTTTTAATTTTTGATAAATATATATCTTTTTTTAACAGTTGTTTAAAAAATCAAAAAAGTAATTGAAAAAATTTAGAACTTTAGTAGGGTCAGTCGGGGTAAATCCGAACGGGGGGTAAATCCGAACGCTAATTATTTCAGCTTAATTAAAATTTTTAAAAATAAGTTCGATATGAGAATTTTTACCTCAGATCCTCTTGAAGAGATTCTAAGTATTATCCCATTTTTTGTTTGTTAATTAGCAACAGCATAAACAAAGATAACAAGTATTGCAAAAAAGATTGAAAATCAAAGATGACACTCTTTCAGTATTTTGTCTCGTATTTGAAGAAAAAGAAGCTAAAAATTCATTTTATTATTTATAATTGTTTGTTATGAATACTAGAACAGAAACTATATTTGATTTTTGCCTTCTGTAAAATTTTATTAATAATATCAGACCGTTCGTATTTACCCAAGAAAATTGGAAAACTGGGGTAAATCCGAACGGTATTTTTAATAATTTTTTTTTACATCAGAGCCACACAAAATTGTTTTTTTTTGATTATACTATTATTTTAACATTATAAAAGTACATAGAAAAAAGTTTTTCTTTCTATATGTATCCTCGTTAGTAATTAATAAGCAGAAACCTAATCTCTATTCTCTCGAAGGAGTGTTTCAATTTTTTTGCCAAATGGTTTGTTGAAAAAAGTTTTTCAGGATCTTAATAAAATTTGGTATTCTACGGTTTTTGGGGTCGCTAATTACCAATTTGAAGTCAGTTTTTCAAAATTCAAAATGGCGGACGAGAATTAAAAAATTCATTGGCTTCGCTCGAAAATTGTTACTCGGGGGGTTTCAGGGTTAGCAAATTTGATCATTTTTAAAAATAAGTTTTAGGAAAGTCCGCCATTTTGAATTTAAAAAATTTGACTTTTATTTTTGTATTTACATTCAATCACTCCAAAATACTTTCTGTACCAAGTTTTGCAAAAATCCGTTATGATTTGATAAAGTTATTGAAGGTTTTAATTGTGTAATGCATTTTAATTTTTAACCTGTTTGATTTTTGTATTTATATATGATGCATTATTACATAATAGGTTTATTATCGTATTTTTTTTGAGTTTTTATATAAGTTTAACAATTGCAAT